TAACAAAGCTTTGGGAGCGCGGGCTTCAGGACTCGGATTCTCTCTCTCTCTCTCTCGCTCAGACACGGGTCCGTCAGATGCAATGCTGCTAGACCCACGCCCCACCGCTCAGTTTAAGCGCTGTAAACCAACTACAGACCCAAATGGTGTTTACCCACGACTCAGGAAAAATCCCCAACAGTATGACAGAAACCAGCTCGCGACACTCTGCGCGAATCAAATGCATCCCCAGTGCCCGTGGACCGAGTCAACACTCTGCTGAATCGCGGAGGAATCGGTCAGTTGGTGAGTGCTTTAGCTTGGCCCCCTCATGTCCCAGCATACCCCGTTTAGAATCATTTCCTAAAGTTGAATTGGCCTCTACTGATTGCAGAAGCTCAGCAAGGACACGAACCCACAGAGTCCCAACTTGCCGACAAGATGCGGCCTTCCGGTTGGGACTGTATGCGCCGAGCGTGGCAAGCTGTGCCAAGACAGCCTGTACTGATCTTGGACAGACCGTTAAGGCGAGAGCACCAGCTCAGAATCAATGCGGAATGACTGGTTGTTTGCTGATGGCGGGAGGCAGGGAATTCTTGTCTTCGCATCCATCAACGCGCTCCCGTATCAAAAGCATAAAGAACGAAATACCTTCCCAGCAGCGCGGTCACGGGCAAAACAGAGCTACAGCTTGGCTTGGACGGTAGCAAGAACATCTTTCCCATAACCATGGAACACGAGCCAGCTAGTCATGATGCACAGATGTGCAAGCCAGAGCACCACGCCGAAAATCTAACATCAGGTCTCTTGAGCTCCATAGTCCTAAGCCTGAGCGCTATCTGGGCCATAGCCAGGAGGTTCCGGGACTCATATAACATGCTTCGGGCTTCATCACGAACTTCAAACCTTCTAAATGATTCTACCAACACATTCCACTGATTGTGTTTGGATACAGTACTGTGTCATGTGTTGGCGGACTACAAGCACAATCAATCTCAAGAATACGTCGGGGCCCAAGCCTGGAACACGCTTACGAACCTTCCTGCGACACAGACCGTATTTCAACAGTCTCATGAAGCGCAAAAAATATCTCTGAATCGCTCCGAGGTGCTCTGCTGTCGATGGCTGCCACTGCACGCTCCATCGCCTGGGCGCTGCTTCAGACCAACGGACTGGGAAGGGCACCGGTGCAGGCACTGCCCCGGCCTGGTACTCGGCAGGGAACGTCGCGCAGCCCAGGAATTGCAGGGCGCAGCGGCTGAAGTGGTTGCAGTTCTTGCGCAGCAGGTCGTAGCCTTCGCCGCACTGCTACGTGTATAGATGTTCAACCGCAGGAACGAAGAACGTGCATCCAAACGTCCATAGGATCCGCACAAAGGCACCCCCCTCACTTTGTGCACAACATATCGGGAGACGAATGGGAACAACTCCGATGTCCGAGCGCCGCACTGTGTGCCGCAAAAAAGCGGCTGAGCTCCTGCATGGTGACAACTTAGCATGGCTTGAATGCTTCCGTCACATGGCAACTTTGGGGGCTTGCTGCCAACACAAACATGGACTATGTGCGAATTCAGGTCCAGAACGAAATTTGGTAGGACGAACAAGGCACAGGGAATCACCACATGGCAGGTTGCTCATTGGCGCAACATGTTTTGGCGGCTTCCGAATGCTGCTGAGGTGCGCTCTTGAGGCGTTCGCCTGGAAAAATCCGCACTTGATGCTGCCGTGGGCTTCCATGCGACCGAGAGGGTGTGTGCATGTGTGTGTGTGTGCATCGGCATGGTATCTACGTGAGAACAAGGACATGGACAGTAGATAAGGCTCTCTGCAGAGTGTACGGCCGCTGCCCTCTTAACTTTAGCCGCCCACCATCAGACAACCGGCGGGAATCCGGTAGGACTGTCCAAACATGTCCAAACCATAGGCCGGCCTTCGACCTCGCTGCAGCCCATGTCGAGCAGATGCGTGGGCTGTATTAGCCCAGCGTGGCTTGCAGCTTTGGGCCACGCCGACACTGTGACGCCGGCCTCACTGAACCAATACTCCTTTCAGGACGAATCGCAGCGCCCCAAAAAGCAAAAGGCTTCATGGATCTCATGTCTGTTGCCCCAGCCCAAAAGATGTAGTTGTCCTCGCTGCCAAGAACGAGGCTTGTGTGGTATGCCTGGGCAAGGGGAGCCCTTGCCGCATCAACAGAAACAGCGGTGTTTGGTCGAGTGTCCTTCTACCCTCTTTCAGCGGTGCAACTTGCAACATAGCAACAAGTTTGCATGGGATGACATTCGTGATACTTTGCCATGGCTACATGGACTGCTGTTACCGGAGACAATGGGGTTTGGTGGGACAGCGACATCTTCGGCCAAGCAAGTCCAAGCAAGTCGTTCCCGGAATGCGGTAGCCGGGCTACTTACGGCTAGATGGTGCAAGTTTCGTTCCGAGGACTGTATACCAAAGCAGGTCTGATTGAAGTGAAAAGGGCCTTGCGGCGCGCAGGAGTTGGCTCAGAAGTGTCGAATGTGCGATGATGCAAACACAAACGCTTAACTATGGAGGCATCACATTCCATCGCCAAGACACCCGCGGCAGAAAAAAACGGAGCGGAGAGGACCTCATGAACAAGGTGATCAACATCGAAGGCAAGGTTCAAGTGACCGCTGCACAAGAACAAGCACGTCCATCCATGTCCATCCCCTTCAACAGGCATCCATGAACTGGCTCCAGAGCTTACGAACGGCGGCTTGGAATGCTTCTACTACCAGTGCGATCGAGTCACAGAGGCATCAGCTCGGTCACGGCAAGCTGGACCCTGCCGCTGAATTAAGGTTGGACTTTCGCCATCGCACCCCGGTCATCAACCACCGCCGAATATGTCACAACAACAACCTAGCTTAAATCGGCAAGACAGCTTTCGCCAGGATTGGACATGAGCAGCTGCAAAGCCCTGGAGTACTTCGCCATGTGACCTTGAAGATTCAAGCAGAAATTGCGACTGACTTGCCGCCGGCCTCATCGCAACAACGGCGCCCGAGGCGGTCTTGAAATAGCAAATGGCTGCAGGCAATTCACCCAAGCCGAGGAGTGCTGGCTCATCAAGGTGCAAGCAACACAGTACAAACCCTCGGAAAGCAAAGACCCTGAAACCCGAAGACCTCAAACCGTGGGCTTCTTGGGTGAGCTGCATGCTAGCGCATTTGCTAACTCAGTGGATTTAGGACGGACATGTAAGGGTTCCGTGGTTTTTTGGCAGCATGCATATTCACATATTTCTTCGCCTGCGAAGTCAGCGCACCCTGTTGATGAGTTGGAAGTCGCACGTCAGCTTTCTGATTGCTCTTCCCGATTCTTGCTGCTGCAGTTGCCCGATGCGCGCTTTACGCAGCATCTTGTCGGAAAATGCAGGTATAGCCTGTATAGGGGCTCTATTTTACGTCTCCCGTACCCCACGCGCTCGCGGGCGCTCGCGCGCGGAGCAGGTGGCATTAAATGGCGAGTCCGGAACTTGCCTTGGGCAACCCGCACTTCGCCAAGATGCGTCGAAACATCACCGGGTGTGGGATTTTTACCCCTTCGTTACCTGAGGACTCCTTCCCTTCAAATGGCTTACGGCACCTTCTCCTTACTTTGGAAGGAGATCCAGGCGGCCGTGTGCATGCCCCCGGATCAGGGACCTACTGCAGATAAACCAGCACCTGGGAAGATGGGCTGAGGCGTGACAAGACTCCATATGGGGGTTTTCGAAATTAAGGGGGTACTTCTTATAAGGGGATCCTACTATTTTGGGGTGTATATAGGGGGTCCCGAACCCCCATAGCACATCGGGGTCTGAGCCCTGCGCAACCGTGATGTCGTCCACCACCGCCCCTCCCTCCTCCAACATCCATCGATCCCAAGCCTGGTGCGCGCCAAGGTTCTGCAGTTGCTACCTGATGCTACGCCATGAAATAGCCGCTCTGACATTGTATTGCATGAAGGCATGTACCACGTTCGTTGTTTCACAATACTACAAGACAGGTTAGATGATCTTACCTTCTGTCTCCCTGGCCTCCTTTGCCAAAGCGTCTGCAGCCTCCATGGCCTGAGACGCACATCCGAACAGCATAGGAACCTGAAACTCCCAGTCCGCCACACCAAGTTGCCTTCATGAAAGAAGAAAAAAAGCAACAGCGCACAGAGATCAGAGGAAGTTGCCATATCCTGGGTACCAAGTCTCCGGCACTTTCCGGGGCATAGCCAGCACAAAGCTTTACGGCCTGAGAACTGAGTGGCATGTGCCACGTGACGATGTGTTGCTATAGATAGAGACCATAGAGTCATTGGTAAGAGATTTCAGATCACACAACAGGTCAAAGAAGGAGCACCAGGAATTCCATGTGTACTGGACACGGCTTGAACCCAGCAAGCGTCTGTGTGAGCCGACCAGCAGTGGTCAAACGAAAACAACGTCGATCCAAATGCGGACTAAGTGCCAAGTCAGTAACAAAGAGAGAGAATGCAGGCAGCGGTCACGGCAGCGGAAGGTGCGACATGTTAACGTCTGGGCCTGCCTCAATCGGAGCCATGAACTCCCAAACGCCGTCACTGCAGAGCAGCAGAATCTGCAACAGCGGCATCAGGGCTGTGCGATGCGCTTCGTGGCTACCTCAGAAAGCTTCGTCAAGTCGGCTCGAACCTCATCCTCAGGGTCCAGCTTGCGCTGGGAAACCTACGCCAGATGTCAAGGAATCAGGGAAAATCAGGGAAAACAAGAGCTGCTGCCACGGCCTCGGGGATGGCTGAGATGCCACACGTCTGGCGTGCGGGCGCGACCAAGAGAACAGCACGGAAAAGTGCGCAAAATTGACAAGCAACTCACACAAATTGGCACAAGGACTGCGAGAAAAGTCTGCCGACCTGATGGCCCATAAGATCACCCAGGCAGCGAGACATGTTCAGCCTCGGAACATGTGAAATACGCGCCGCAATGTCGGCCAGATGAAGGGGCATCTCGCCTTGATCATGCTGTTCTACTATATTGCACGATCCTAAGACGTCGCTCGAGGCTGGCACCCCGGATGGCGGGCATTCCTGCAGCAAGGCATGGCTGAAGAGCTCAGCAAGGGGGCAAAGGAGCCGTCCTGGCATAAATCCGGTGGTTTGCATAGCCATCGAAGACAACCATGCCGCCGGCCTGTAGCGCCGACATTTGGTGCGAAGCATGCACACAAAGCATCGCAGAGCCATCATTGACGACCAAACAACTCGCAGGCATTGCAAGGCAAGGTGCCTTCTCAATGCGCGCCTTCTCATCCTGATCAGTGCCGTGTGAAGTTTGCCACGCGGAATGGAGAGGCCCGATGTGGCTTTCTTGGACTACTGGCATTGAAAATATTCTCGGCAGAAGCGACGGAAACGCTCATGGACCTTGAGATTGGGCTTGTGATCTCGCGTGAGCTGCTCTGCCTCAAAGTCGTCGGGTCCCTGACAAGGCATTCGGATTCACAACAGAAGGCCCCGTTTCAAGATTAGCCTGGCACAATGTCCATCCATGCCCTCTTGCCTTTCTACGGCCGAGCACAGAGGAGCTGTCAGCAACATGGGCGACCTGCCATCAAGAAGCAGCTGAGCTAAGACGGAGCGCTTGTCAACAAACATTGCATCACAGAAGGCCAATCGCTAAGTTGGGAGCGGTAATCTGTTTGCTTTCATGGTCGTGTACCACCAAGGTTGCGGTTGTTCCCGACCTGAGCCAGGCAAAAGCACGTGTATGGGGCAGCAAAGAGACAAGGTGCCCCTGTGGGTTCCCCACAGTGCCGCAGACAGCTTGCCGATCTTGTCCGAGGCGATGATCAGATCTTGCGTGCGCTGGAAGTTTTCCTGGCCATGTTCTCAAGCAGCATCCTTTGTCTTCTTGGACTTCGGACACTCAGCCAACCAAGCAGAGCTTTAGCCCCTGGCGAGTTCAAAGAACATCCCTCATCGTGCCTTCAACATATCTGGCAAATCAGCCGAGTCCTTTCCGAACCGCTCGTCCTGCCATCGGGACGATGGGGACGATGGAACCATGGCGACCCAATCCCCAACTGGTGAAGATGTCCCACGAAGTTGCACCAAATCACCCCCGAAGTCTGCAACAGATCGGGGCACCATCAGGATCAGCTTCGGCAGGTTGTCTTTGACAAACTGGGAAACCTTGTGGCCTCTCAGGAGCGCATGAGCCGTGCAAAGAGTACAGCTTCGCGTTTTGAGCCTAGGATCTGGCCTTTCGACCCATGGCCATCAAAGACGGCATAAAGTGAGAAGCACTGCTCCACCTTCAAGCAAAACCAGGAGTCCTGACAGCTCGTAGTCGCTCACCCTCCCAGCTGCTCAATCCACAGGCTTCGGCTCACTTAGACTCAGCGGCGCATGGTCAAGCGTATAATAGGGCGGCTGTGATCGCAACGATCCACAAGGCGTGTCCTGATTCGGACTCTCCGGCTTGAGGCCTTTCCGACCTTGGAAAAGCATCCCATCTGCCCAAGAAGTGCATCCCCCGCGGCTTCCCTGCGGCGCCCCCCCAACCCCAAAGCAGCTGCAGGCCGCCCAAAACAAACCAGGGCCGAACTAATCTACTTCTGGTTATTAAAGCTCTCTTTGCCTTTTTCTTCTCTCTCTTCCTGCAGCCCGAAGAATCGGCAGAAATTTCGGCTGGCAGCCTCGATCACATCCAACGTCCTCAGGCCTTTCGCCACCGCCAAGGCATGGGCGACCTGTGCATGGGGTTGGCGCATCTCACAGCCTCAAAGACCTCCAAGGGAGGGAATTGCCCTGAGTCCGAGGCCCACGGGACGTGGCCAGGGTGCGACTCCTGGCCACGATACGGCGCGGGCGCCATGTACGGGCCATCGGTCTCGAGCAGCAGGCGGTCGACCTAGGCGGCCCTCAAGCATGAGAATCCATGTACAAGAAGCGTACAAGACATGTGTTTCGCACTCACACAGCCGAGGAATGGACAGGCAGGACTTTCGCCAGTTCACGGAGCCCTCCATCCTGCGAAGACCACGCCCACGTCACTGCGCCAGGCACGCTGACGTACGTGTTGGGGCGCCTGGGCAGGGAAGAGCCTAAGGGTGTCTCTATCTGCTCAAGACCCCTAATGTGCCAGGGAGTTCGATGTAACCCTGAACGCCCTACCACTGTATGCCCCAGGCTTCTCTGACCCCTCTGCCTTAAACATCCTGTGAACAATCATTGCTTTGCGTTTGTGGCGGGAATGCTCTCTCCAACGCACAGGGCCGGCATCTCATCAGACTAGTTGACTGATCGATTTTGGAAGCTTTAGAATCAGAAGCTCCAAGGGGTGGGTTTTGTGGCGATGGAAGGCTGATGGCTCAGGCTGAGCTTGGAGGGTTGGAGTCATACGCTTGCAGCCGCGTGATGCTAACCGACGCGTGCACAGAACTCCTGTAGAATCCCTTCTGCCAAACGCCCCTGAAACACTCAAAGTTTAGCACTCCAAACATGGATAATGAGCCAGATGAACAAAGGCACTGGGCCAGGAAGGAGAGAAGCATGGACGGCGAGCCCATAAAGGAATGGAGTTGAATGTAGTGGTCACGAGGCACCTGAGCATTGTGAGATCACCGCCAACATGCTGCACCCACGCCCTCACTTCGCCAGAACTGCTACACAGACCTGGAGTCCCCCACATGCTCGTCAAGGATGTGGAACACCTCCTCCTCTGCATCCCTGGAATGAACCACCTCGTTGGATCAACGGTGCAAGAACTGGGTAACTTCTTCCTAAACATAAACCCTAAACCCTAAACCCTAAACCCGAAACCCTAAACCCTAAACCCTAATCTCAAGTAAGCCCCACGCCAGTGGAATACGACGTTTCAAGGCAACTTGGATCTGCTGGATGAACACCTCACGTGTTGCGTGCAAAGAAGAGGCGGCTTTGCGGACAAGCTGGCTTCCTCTGGTGAATCCGGTCTGCAGCACATGCTCCAACTGCATGCTCCTTGTGCGTGGACTGCCTGCTGCATCTGCTGCCGCATCTGTGGCGCGGAGTCCAACTCATCAGCCCTGACCGAGGAAGGAGTTGCAACCACTTGAAGTTCCGATCCAGCATGCGGGAGGGGGGGGGTTGCTTTCGTTTGTTGGGCCTTGTGGGGCTCCTGCGCTCTAAAACTTGAAGGAAGACACCATACTTCCACAAATCAACCCCCCCAATGTGCATTGCAAGCGCGCCTCTTGTTGAAGTCCAGGCCGCACTCTCCCCAACCCACACCCTGCACGCCGCAGAGGTCAAGGGCTGCCTCAAGTCGCATCTGCACCTCCACAAAGAGCAAACACGCGGGCATTTGGGTATGAAGGGACCACAAACAACGCTGACCCCTCATAAACAGCTTTGGCCCCTAAACCCTTGAAGGGCTCCAGGGTAAGCAAGGCTTGGCGTAGCACCTCTGGGGAATGGACGTCGAAGTCGTTGGGATGGATGCCAAAAGTGGCAAAGATACGTCCATCCATCATCTCCCGGCCCCACTTCACCAGCTGCAACGTGTCCTTTTCTTTGGGGGGCTTGCGGGCGACGGAAGGTGTAGGAGGTTGCGTAATGTAGCACTCCATGCAGGGCATGCCAGCAGCTGACCTCGATGGCCTCCACTGTGCAGCAGCTTTGAACGATGCCGACAATTCTGCTGCCTACGGCTGCAGAAAGCAAGCACACGGACACAACCCCCCTTTAGCCCCATTCCATGTCACCATGCACCGATGTCGAGTCAAGAGCAACGACATGCGAACTTCTGCCTTCCGCCCTTTGTGACCTTTGTGACCTTTGTGGCTGGCCTGGCAGCTTTGCGAGCTCGGCGCCGAGCTCGGCCAGGTCTTGGGGGCGCAGCGCAGGCACCGGTCGGAGCTTCTCGCCCTCGTGCGCGTAGAGGCAGCGGCGCCGCGCGCAGTTCAGGTAGCCTCATGTTGACTCGTGTCTTGGCTCAGCTCGGCATTTCACGGCATGCCTGGTCGGCTGAGGCACAATCCGCATCGCATGGTTTTGGCATACCAGGCAAAGCCATATCTCCTGGCTCTGCACTGAAGCCCGAAACTGATCTAAGAAGTTGGCAAGACCTCGACATTCGAGAGCCGGTCACCAGCACGCTCTCTCTTGCCTCGTTCGCAGCATCTCATCCAAGTGGATGTGCGAGTCGGTGATTGGAAGATCTCGAGCTCTGCCCTGTTCAAGACAGATGCAATCGTCCGCTCGTATCCTCTATCAAAGGATCCGTCTTCCATTGCTGGCCATGCGAATTGAAGGCGAGATACTTACACTTTCATCAACACTACCCTGCGTCACACATTCACGACATGCACCCCGTGCTAGAAACCAGCTGACCACCTTCTCATCGGTAGCCACACAGCTAAAGTACCGAAGCTCCACTGCACCTTGCACAAAGCGCGGTGGGTCGCTTGGTGAAGCTGTTTAGCATGAAGTCGCACGACTCGGCATTCGCCTGCGGGCTGAACTGGCACCATCATGTAGCCATCTGCAAGTACGGGGACGCCATCTGCAACGACGGTGTCGCCCACCTTCACCTGAAATGGAACATGCATCAGGGCTGATGGCCACAGATGGGCTGATGGCCACGGATGGGCTGATAGCACCCGTGACCATCCAGGCCCGTGACTCTGTCAATGACCTCCCAATCGGAAGGTGACTGCCAGACCTGCAGTTTCTGAAAGCTTTTGGGGTGCAGGGATTGGTTTACCATGGTTTTCCGGCTTGCGGAGTGCGTCTTGCCGTCTTAAGACCAATCCGTGGGGCCTCGGAAGCGTCTGCCTCACTTAGGCGATGAGCGCCCATGCAGCGGAGCAGCGTCCTCAAGCAGACGAGTTCCCCCAGGCCGGACGCCAACAGAAGCCCAGACAAATCTCGACGCTCAGTTCTGTCCCTCGTTGGATGCCGTCCAAGGGTGGCAATCTCAGCGGAGATCGTCGTAGCTCCTCCAAGCCATGCGCCTGAGTCACCAGACAGAGCAGGCAATACGCACATTTACCTTACAAACTAAACCTCTTGATCGCAAAGTGAAGCATCACGCGCTCCCCACGCACTGCACGAATGGCTCGCAGGAAACTTGCTTCCCAGGGCACATTCCAGCAAAAGGAGCTTGTGAACGGACATTCGAGGCCTCTCAACGGCGCGGGACAAGATTGGTGGAACGAACACCTGCTGGATCGCCAGGGAGCCGAGTTAGGAGAAGCCCGCCGAGGCCGAAGAGGCTTCAGGCGTTCAGATCCGATTCTAGGGACCTTGCAAAAATCTACCCCACAAACTATAAAACCGGAAGTGGACTGCCGAGTTTTCTCAAGGGTGCCCCCCCCTAACCAATCGGTGTCCGGCAGCGGACGGCTCGCCAGGACCAGGGGCATTGTGGGCAGTGGGACGGTTTTCCAAAAGTGGCGTTCCCTGCTGCCCCCCCCCCACCCCCCCCAAATCCGAATCCTGCATCCCCCGCCCTACTAGGAACTCGCTCACTACGTGTAGACACGACTTTTTTCCAGGCCCTTGTCCCTCCCCTGCCTCCCCCACCCCCCTCCTTCTGTTCCGCCGCCCCAGCGCCCTCGCCCAGGCGGCCTCGCGCTAGCGGCTAAGTTACCCAATTGATTCGGGAAATGGCTCGGAAATGCACATGTCATGGGAGAAGCGCCTGGCACCATGAAGAGCGAGCAAAGGTTCTTCTTGTGATACTTGTTGATGTCGCTTGCTGCATCGCCGCAGCAATCCTGAGCAGATGCCTTCCTCTCACCCTCAATTTTGTGGGGACGTCCAAATGAAGTGTCAGGATATCTGCTTCAGCACAGCTTCTTTGAGCAAGCTGTGATTGAAGCTGCATGAGTCGCCGTAGACGCAGCGGCCCCTCGCAGACAATTGTTTGAAGACTTCCTAGGACAAAAGCCCACACTGATGAGTGAAGATTGTAACGTTGCAGGCAGCTCGTGGCGAGAGGGGGGAGACTCCAGGCGCGACTGCGGATCACGACTAGATTCTTTGATCATGTAGCACTGGCATCGGCGCAGGACTTGGAGCACTGACCCTGAACTGCAGAGAACTCGAGTCTCTAGAGGTTCACCCGACCGAGGCCTGTCGAAGAAGTAGCAGCGCTTCTTGCTGAACGAATCCTCGTGATCAAAAATTGTATCCCCGTTCTAGCAGAGTCTCATGGCATCACAAACAGGCAGTCTGAGAAGGGCACCTGGCCCATGGCCACGTAGCTGCCATAGTCGCCTTTTTAGCAATGAAGCGCGCTTGTTGATCACTCGCTCTCTTCTTCTTCTTCTTCTTCTTCTTCTTCTTCTTCTTCTTCTTCTTCTTCTTCTTCTTCTTCTTCTTCTTCTTCTTCTTCTTCTTCTTCTTCTTCTTCTTCTTCTTCTTCTTCTTCTACAGGGCATGAAGGGCCCGAAAGCCCCCCGCGCGCACAGGCGCGCCCAGTTCACCAGGTTCGTCCTTTTGTGAGTATGTGACACGTCGGGCTAACGTTGGTGGCTCGGTACGCTCGCTCCCCTTCTTCCCCAAGATCCTTAGTAGTCCTTAGTACCCCCTTTGCTGTTGGTTGAGCGAGCTTCCCCCGGCCGACGCTTTGCGTTTGCCCATCCTGCGCTGTCTACAGAGGCCTGGCTTCCCCGCACGGACATCACACTTCAAAACACGGTGCACTTCGCTCACTCTCTCTCTCTCTCTCAGATGTCCCTCCTCCGTGCTTGCAGTGGCACGTTGCAGCTAAGCTTCAGAAGCGAGCTCGCTTTGAGCTGCCCCCATCCACTCGTCGGACCTGCCTGCCGAGCTGAGCTTCAGGCTGCAAAAGCCAAACGGAAGAGCGACAATCGGCCCTACTGGTGTGGCGGCTCTCGATTCTCAAGCGAGCCTAGGGGTCGCTGGTTCCGGTGGCGGCTCCAACGCGGCCATGGACCCATGGCTCACAACTTTGGGCAAGGCCCGTTTGAGGGTTTAGGCTTCGAGGTTTGCCGGGTCGTTTGGACGAAGTTGTTGTAAAGAGCTTTTCTGTCCCGAGTGAGGCTTGGGTCTGCAGCAGTGAGGTCTTCGTAAGTTTTTGCAAGCTCTGGAGCCATGCTCGGGCCCTTGCTTCTACGTGACAGCACCTGACCCAACATGGGCAAGCACGGCCACAATTGAGTCCCGGGCAGGTGTAGCCTAGATGCGTCACAGCCTCGGCGAAAGCAAATCTAAATGCATCGGTAGCAGGGTTTGGGACAGGACCTCTCGGAAAATCCTTGCTACGTGTGGGGCTCCAACTGGCTCGATGGCGTCCCCAAGCCGCTGGATAGTCTTGTTTGCAAAAGCTTCCTTCCTGGCTTCTGAAAACCAGACATCCAAGGTCTCGGTCTCGGCTTCTCAAGAAACCCGACCTCCTGGTAACCATGTCAGGGTGGCCCAGCATCCAAGGCAGTGCCTGAATCAACACACAAAGGGCCCAAGGAGGCATCTACTGCGCTTCAGGGTCATGAGCTATAGACACGCCTATGCTCATCCTGCGGCCAGCTTTGATGTTCTTTCCTTCCAGCCTGCAGCATTACAAGAGGCAAGAGACAAGAGATCAACTGCAATCGATCCTTCGACTCAGAAGTCCAAGCGTTAAACAAAAAAAAAGCGGCGCGAAGCAACGACAGGCTCGGACAGTCTCTCTGAACCCCCAGAAACGGCAAACGTATTTAAACAAAAAACAAAAAAAGAGACACGCACACACACATGCGGTCTTCTGCAAGTCCCCGGCAGCTGGAGCACCGTCTCATTGTCTAAGGCTGCGAGGAGGCCCCGGTCCTGTCGCACAGTGGGGCTCGGCATCTTCAAGCTGATCGGAAAAATTCGTCGAAGCTCTTCGAGCATGAGCAGCTCTACACAGCAGAGATCCTCCTCTCTGATGTCCTGAGCCCACAGCCAAATCAGCCAAGCCATGACAGTGCGACATGTCGAAGAACTCTGCGCACAATTTTTGTTTGCATGGGAAGCCCTGCTGAGCAAATGGAGGAAGGAGGAGCCGTCTTGGAACTGCAACTGAGGCAAATCGCTGTCAAGGAGCAGCCTCTTCCGTGGCCGCCTCGTTCTCCACGATACCGACGGACAAGCGACGACGCTCTGCCGGCACCTTTCAAAGGATTTGCCACAGAGGCACAGAGGCACAGAGGCACACAGAGGCAGAGAGGCCCAGAGGCACACCACATGGCAAGAAATTGCACACGAAATGCAACACAAACGAGAACAAAAAAATGAGAAGAGGGGATGAGGCCTCAACTTTCCGCTTGCCCTGGGCTGAGCCGGAGCAACCCATAGAAGTGGGCCCCTGGGGCAGCTCAGCGTGGCTAACTTTAAGCAAACAGCTGGCAGACTTCTGGCAGACTCGGGCCTCCCCTATGGCTCCTCGACTCTTCCAAACCTCTTGCCCGGGCGCAGAAAGTGGCCATGAGCTCAATATTCTGCGACGCATCAAAGGTATAGAGGCTCTCATGGCTCAGCCCATTCGGGGCTGGGATGGGCTGGGGACTGAGACGCACTGAGAGTGTCGCGGGCCCTCGGCCTGTCCTTTTCAACTTCTCGCCATCTCGCTTGGACGAAGCAGTGGCAGCTCCCCATGCCAAGAACTGGACATCATCACTCTCGGAACACATCACTCCGAGTGTGACTCACTTTCGAGTCTAGACACGTTCGAACTGCAATCTTGCCATCTGCAGGTGCAGGGAAAGCGAAAAAATTCGCTGCGGACGTCATCAAACGGCCAATGCCGAGTGAAGTCATCATTTCATTCAGTTAGGTCGAAGCACAACCAGAGCAATCAATAGATCCGCAAGCTCGCTGCTACGTGGGCCACCAGCCAACCGCATGCCGCCACAACGCCGATTTGGCAATTCGCAGCTAGCTACGCTGTCCGATTTCGCAACATGCTCTACGAGGGACAAACCAGAACACCATGACCTCGATTCTGAAGCCGTGACTGCATCTCAAGGAAGCAACAACTTCTGAATATTCCAAAGCTCCGTTCTTGAATTCACATGCTTGTTATCATCATTGGTTGCCATCGCGTGCAGATGCTGCGTCTAGGGAGGTTCTCCGAAACTTGCGAACTCAGGTGGTTCGCCTTTCCACGCCAACTACAGATCCTCTGGTGTTGGAGCTGTACGCTCAAAACCTCCGATCAAACAAGAAGGACGCTCGCACTGACCATGCAGCATCAGCACCGTTCAAATGGAAGTCTTCCCATCCCCCTGGGCCTCTATCTTTCATGAGCTGGTGAAGCTCGGCGGTCTTCATTGACTGCAGATCGACTCTCTCCACCTAAAAAAAACATCCGAGACATCATCCTCAATTTTATAGCGAGCCTCCATTGCCAAGCTCGCACAGTGCGTCATTGCGAGCCTCCTCCTCGCCGGAGAAGCAGACGAGCTCTGGCTTGGCACCGGGGATGAAGTTCACCGTCAAGTCCTTGAAGCCTGTCGCAACATTCAGACTAACAAGTGAATCACTAGCTCTCATACTACACATCTGCTGCAAAAAGCAAGTTCGAAAACATTCTCTGGCAAGATTTCAATACGCGCCAGGAGCACCATCTGCGTGGCCTGGGCCCTTGACAAATCTTTTTACCTTGCAGGAAAGCCATCGTCGCACAAGCTTCCATGCAAAGCCTTGCGAGTTTTCACAGGACTTGCTAAGGACTCGCTGAGTACTTGCCTCAGGAAGCTTGTTCAGTTTTCAGCCGCTGCAGGTCTGGATTTCACAACGTTGATCCTGCCGTTCACTCATCCACACAAGTCTGGCAACCAACATCCGACCGGTAGCGCGAATTGAGGACGTCCGTCATTTCAGCTGGGAGGTAGCGCAGCATGCATCCAGCAGCTCAGACTCACCAACGACGATCATGGACTTCAATGAGTGGGTCAAGCTTACGAGTGAGTCTTTTCAAGCAAGCTTAATGTTGTGTCGGTTTTGGACGCCAATGGCTCGTTGACCTGCCCAAATGAGCAGTGTTTTCAAACCGCACAGACAGAATGCAAATTATGACAAACAAATTTGCACGTCTGGTAGCACTGGTGGGCACTGAAGTCGCAGTAGCAATAGTTGTCGTAGTACCTGTAGAATTTGAATGCAGTGATAACAGAAGTAGCAGTAATGATAGTAGCAGCGGTCGAACTAGTCATCATAGTAGTATGGTAGCAGTTGTTTAGAATTCCGAGTAGTAGTGCTAATGGCATCGCAATCGAGACTTAAGTCGAAGTAGAAGTGGAACTCAGCTGCAATCGTAATCGCAGTGGTGGTAGCAATAGTAGTAGCAGTCACAATAGCCATAGTGGTGATTATTATCATGGTCATCATTCTCCGTATTGCTACCATTATTGCTATTGTCATAATTTTTATGATCAACAGCTTTTTCATACCTTTGTACAACATACTGCGCAACGATGTGGAACAAGACACATTGTCGCAAGCGTCCATGCCTTTGGTGACCATGCCCAAAACTGGCATTTACAGCGTTTTCATCACTTTGTACAACATACTGCGAAAGGATGTAGAACAAGACACGCTGTCACAAGCGTGCATGCTTTTTGGCGGCCATGCCCAAAACACTGGTATTTACAGCGATTTGCGATTCTGAGTTTAGCGACCAGCTGAAAGAAAACCTTAAGGTTCTTGATCTTTTCACACTCACACATGAGTCATGAAGCACATAAGTATGAATCTTGTGCGAATCCCAAGTAGTTTTCGCGGGGTTTTTAGCACCTTTTTTTGGGCTTCTTTTTTACACCTGAAGGACGAATATATTGTAAAGACCAATACGCCGTGCACTTCCCTCGATCTGAGCATGTCTCTCACGGCCGTGTACGCGCCGTGGACCCAGTAGTTAGTAGTAGTAACAGCGATAGTAGGACAGACGCGAGGCTAAAGTTTCCCTTTTTCGTCAGTACGCCCCTGTCCTCCGCATCAGCCTGCACTAGCAGCAGCGCCTCAGGAAATGGCGGGACACGCATTCGAACTCCATATTACTCTTCTCTATACCATTATCCTACTACAATGATTTTTCTATGATTATACTATGAAAATGTATAGTGTATTGCTATGCTATATCAACATGTAGTATCTGTAGATGCTCTGGTTTTTTGTTATGATTATGTTTCGATTCTTCCATTAGCGTACTGACATCATAGTTTATGAATATGTTGTTTTGTAATAATAAATAGCATATTGTGATGCAAGTCTCTTTTTGTTCGGACACCATTATACCAAAGCATCTTACTCTTCTGTGATTATCGCAAAATCCTTTTAGAGCCCACAAGCTTTCGCACAAGCGCCACCGACTCAGGCCCCGGCAAGAACCAATGCCCTGAGAGCCCACCTTGCATCTCGACACCCCCTAAGCAAGCCAGAGTCCCCGAGTGCCAAACTGTGTGACAAGGCCCAGCGTTTAGCTGTGCACGGGAAAAGGGGGGGGGTGCTCTGAGTTACGACCTCTTTCGAAAAGACCTGAGTTTATCGTGCGCTCCATCACTCTGGGCTCCTTGGGGGAAAGTCCTGAAGGCCTTAAGCTGAGGTCTGGACATTTGTGGCCGGAGGCACCTGCTGACACTCTTCTGGCTTACTTGTGCGCCCGTAGCATGACAGGCAATACAGCAGATTGCTTGGATAAAGCTGAGTCCACTGCGAGCTCAATGGCATGCGAAACCGTGTGTCTTGAGGTGGAATGGCAATGGATACACCGCAGTCAAGACCCAATTCAGCATCGCGAAGCAAATGCAAACCTGCTTCGATGCAAGTTAAGGCCCAGGGTTTTTGGGACTTCGACGGTGGTAGGGAGTTCACCTGCTTGCAGTTGGCATGCTCGGCCCCCTTTTTGACGCCATCCGTGAAACGATGCAGCCCTTGTGGGTGCGGTTTGGCATGGTTTGGCTGGAAAATGTGAGCCAAGCCGAGAGTCCTCAAGAGCAGTGTGGCCAGCCATTTCGCTTCACTCGTCTTTCTTGCCCTTGTTCTGCCCGATGACCTCTACAATCTCAGTCATTGCTGAGCTCCACTGCAGCAGGATCAGCCTTCTTCTGCCGATCCCTGAGACCGTCCGGCCTCAAAGATGTGCTTCCAGTCCTGTGCCAGGTCCTGGCACGGATCGTGTACCACGTTTCTTCGCTCTCCGCCTACCGATTTTTTTTTACTCTGGCAGCAACAGCAGCACAGCTCTGCCGGATGGTCCATGGCATTGAACATCAGAATCATTGAACCCCAAACCCCGAGCATTCGCTTGAAAGCACCTGGAGCCAACCTTCCCAAGTGCGATCTGGAGGTGCAGGCGCCTCGGGAAAAAATCAGCAGATGAAACTCTGGAGGAGGAATGGGATAAGTGAGTAGGAAGGTTTAGGATTAATTCAGGGCCTACTGATGTTGCTACTATCCTGGTTTTGTATGGCTTTAGGGATGCGGGCTTTGCCGCACAAGGCCCTGGAATGGAGGTATGTCTAAGCACCCCAACGCGGCGCTTCTTGATCAGGTCGTAGGCCTGCCAACGTGATGCTGAGTGCACAAGGCGGCAACGCAGAAGCTCTCAACAGCTTGTGCTGGGGTTATCTTGGGCTTTGTCAAGGGCACTTCGGAAGTTAGAAGCAGCTGCAGACGGCGGGAGTCATAGGAGGGTGGTTTCGAGATCATCTTCATCACAAGCAACAGCAGCAGCAGCAGCAGCAGCAGCAGCAGCAGCAGCAGCACATTTTGATCATGATCGTGATAGTTGCAATTACTGTCATCACAATTCCTCAATAGCAAACGATTCTATCTTCAGCGGCATGTTTCCCCTTATTTGGGAGAGCCAGGCAAGAGCCTTGGTGATCTCGGACATCTTGTCGTCGCATTCTTTGCCACACCTCAGTCCCCCCAACATGTTGGGAAGAAGGGGGGGGTTCGAGGCTTTGAGGTGGGTTGGGAACACCTTCTTAGGCGCATATCTCCAAGGCTGACACCCCGGATTCCGGTCTGGATGCCATTGTAAGCTCTTGCTGCGATAGGCTGCCTTTGCCTTCGTAGCTCCGCACGAAAAATTCCGCCGCAGTTCGAACCCGAGCTCTAGAATCTCTTCTCCACTGTCCCAAGTGTCAGCTTTGCTCACAAGCTGGCCTCTTGCAAGGAGGCAGACTGGGAGATCTCCAAGAGTTCGTAGGGGTTGACCTGTAAAAGTCGCTGTGCTCTTTGGATACTCATTCTAGGAGCCATCCGTGGTGTCATGTCGTGTCTTTCTTCCACCTGCGTCTGCGCTGCAATGCGGTCGATGTCAACCACCTCTAGAGTTGGGAACTCTTCTGCAGTGGCTGTGTGTGCAAACTCCTCTCTGGTCTTCTCACGATCACCGCCTGGAAGCGGTGCAAGATGGTAGGGATGTACACCTTGATACAGCTGGAGACTGCACTGCAACAAAAAGCAGAAAGGACAGACTGACAATGACTACAATGACTGGGCACCCCGCTATGGTCGTGAGCCCAAGAAGCAGGAGGCCCACGAAGCACCTGGGTTCCAGGGCTCTCGAAACCTCCTCGGCTATGATTCTTCTTGCTCGCTATGCGATACAAGACATTGCTGATTGATGTTGTCACGGTTGCTGAACTGAACCCTTGCCACTGCGGCTGCTGCTTGTGGCGTCGTTACTGCAGTCAATCTCTGTGACTCTGCTCCCTTGGCCCTGATCTTGAGGCTCGGCACAGAGGCAGCCGGCAGAGCAGTTTCTTCCGGCTGTCGTCGTAAGGGGCGTCCGGGGAACACCGCCTAGACTCAAAGCGAAAATTCTTCTGGCGAGCTGCATCACGAAGCTTCTGGGCATTCTGCTGGCTGTTGAAGCCGCGAACGTAAAAGCGCATCAAGAAGCCGTCCAAGATCCAGCCTCATGCCACAAAGACATGATGCATAGCCGGCATAGCCACGTCCAGTGTGAGACGTCTTTCACCTGGATAAGCATCCACAGGCGGCGGCCAACCCCCAGGAAGTTCAAGGTCCAGAAGGCAATCAGCCTTGGTGTGCTTCGAGCGCATGTCGTGAAAACTTGCACCAGCTGCCATGGTCTCCCCCCCGACTCATGTTCAACCGTCGAAAACCTGCAGCGGACATGGGCGATGAAGTGCGACAAGAGAACAACATGTTAAGCGAACAAGACTTAGCTGCAGGCGCATGCGCTAGCCGGTCCATGTACAAGTGGTGCGCAGGGAAGACAGGGTTCAGCCACAGCAGGTAGCTGCGTCCAGGTTGCAGACCAAGCACAACACCAATCAAGTCCGACCATGTGCGCATACATGAGCATTGACACTGCTTGGGTGTCGAATGAAACTCCCGGATTCCTTGTCAACAGCCGCTTTTGCTGCTGCATCGAAGTCGAAGCTGCCTCCCACACAATGCTGCGCTAGAGGCTCGAAGCTGCTACTGACAGTGTATGACAACTCACGTTTGATGCGGAGCTCACTACACAGAGTGCACCTCGATGTGCTGTTGGTTGGGCGACTCTGCTGGTGCGACGCCGGGCACAGGCTTGGTGCAACAACCTGGACAAACCGGAACAAACCCTCGTAACCATGCTTCATTTGCATCCCCATGCTTTTGGACAGCGCAACAACTCATCCAGGCTGGAGGAAAGCATATGCTCAACATGAAGACTCGGGATTGCGCATAACCGGCAAATCACAATGATGCTGACAATGTGAATCGTTGCAACCTGGACCGTCGCAATATGTCTCACAGTTTGTTTCTGAAGCATGGCATGAACATCTGCAACAATCCCCAACACCCTTTTTACGATAAAGGGAGCGACCAATACTTGTTGCAAGTCCCAGTCGTCATCGAGGCCCAACTCCTCAAATGAATGCTCGAGCAGGGTCTGAGAGTCAAGAGCCATTGCGACAATGGGGCCTGGAAGATCTCCTCAGAAAAATCATCCATTTCATTGGGATGACGAGCACCGCTTCTGTACCCAACACACAAGTATAGTCAGTATTGATGATATGGCTGCTGTCCAACACAACGGGTGCGACATGCGACATGTATACAGGTCAAAGACAAAGATTGTCGGAATACTATACTTCACACTCAACACACATGCGGATGCCGCTTTACATTGCATTTTGTGGCTGGGAAACAACATGATGCAAAGGCGCCGTTGTGAAAGACAAGCTTCAAGATTCTGAGCCAAACGCTCACATTTATCGCTGTCTCCGGCAAACTCGGATTCAAGCGGCGACAACCAACATGATCAAAAGCTTAATCAATTGAATCGACATCTCCCCCCAGTACTCAACAAGAACAGTTTGATAGCTCGTTGCTGTCCACACTCGTAACCAGGCCCTTCAAGCCTCAAACGTTGTTGGCAAGCTCAATAGCAAAGCTGTTCCGACCACCCCCAGAATCGACGACAGCACCAAGCAAGGAAGCAAAAGATAAAGAACTGAGAGCCACTAGAGATGTGAGTTGGCGGCAAGACCGGTTGACACTCATCGAACAGCAGGCAGCAAGATCTTGTCTGACATTTCTCGAAGCACGAGGTATAGGTTCAAATGAAGTGTTGACAAGTCCAGAACATTCTGCATTGCATCGAGTTTGTAGGATGATGCTGGATAAAGGTCACACGATTTCTCAGGAGTGGGGGTGGTGGTGGTGGGTTCGTTTTGGTACCGGCTCGCTCCGCAAAGCATGCTCGTTCTTTCCTGTTGCTTCTTGAAAGAGGAAAGTGGCCGTGGATCTTTGCTTGGTATTTTCTGAAGAGCTCCAACACCGAATGGCTGATTCGCACTTCTGGAAGCACAAATCTGCGCCGAATTGCTAAAGACTCATCAAGAGAACGGATGCGTGATAAATGCTGTCCATATCGAGACATTCATATGAGATAGAATACCACATAAGAAAGATATAGGTGACATGGATGAGAGTGAAGATTCTGAATGACATCAGAACTAGCTTGTTTTACACCATCTCCTTCCACTTGAACTGTTTAACATGTAAGCAAACTAGACTGTTAACTATTGCTTGCGTCAGCGTAATACTGCAAAACTCCCAGACCATCTCGGCTCCGGGCACCAACGCCCTTCCCTGTCCCATCCCCCCTCACCGATCACATCAACGCAGCGAGGGCGGCCCAACACTGAACGAAACCGAGAGCCTGTAAGCCAACCGCTCCTTGTGAGGGCGGCACAAACCTGGAACCAGGGGATGTCACGAGTACGGGGACGTGAGCTCCAGCTGGGCAGACCGATGATTGGATGATCCGCTCAGTCGTCACACCCCGGATCGCCCCCTTCCGACTTCCAAACGATTCCTCTTGGGCATCCCCAACATTGGGAATCGTTTACCTTTCGCATTGCCGGAGAAGCCTACCAGTAGGATGCCACATCCCAGCATCGGCGCCACAACCACAAATAGAATCACCCGAAAACCCGAACAGGCCCAGTAGTGGCACATCCCCCGACCAATCCTACAACAACGATCCTACACGCAGAAAAACCCAGCCTAAATTGGCACAGCTCCAAGGTCCACACACAACCGCGACAGCCCCCAAGAAAATCGCAATGATCCATGAAGACTAACCCGCATCCCGAGTTGGCGCAATCAGCTCAAGTTCTAACGAGCACACACTACACACACGCACACACACATTGCCCCAATGTCCCCGATGGGCTCCACCCCTTTTTGCCTTTCTTTGTGGCAGGTAGATGGCAAAGCTCGAAGCGAGGCAAACACGTCCCAGCAAGTCATCGACAAGGGGAATCCCGAGAAGATCTGGCCGCGGGTCCTACTTCCCTTGCCAGGCCTCTCTGGCTTCGCCTTCTTGACCTGGGCTGGGGCTGTTGCACAGATGCAATGTGCGCGCCTCCTAGCACCTGTTCCTTCATGCCAGGGAAAGGCTTCGCTGCAATGCGCATGCCTCCTAGCACCTGTTCCTTCATGTCAGGCAAAGGCTGCGCTGCAATGCGCGCGCCTCCTAGCACCTGTTCCTTCATGCCAGGCAAAGGCTGTGCTGCAATGTGCATGCCTCCTAGCACCTGTTCCTTCATGCCAGGGAAAGGCTGCTCTGCAATGCGCGCGCCTCCTAGCACCTGTTCCTTCATGCCAGGCAAAGGCTGTGCTGCAATGTGCATGCCTCCTAGCACCTGTTCCTTCATGCCAGGGAAAGGCTGTGCATATACTGAGGCCTGAGCCCGTCGCACCCGCAGGGCAGAGGTTTCTAGGTTCTGAGTTCAGAGGTGCATCAGCAAAACAAGCACTGCCTTGGATTCCTTGCCCTGCAGGCTTCAGGGTCTTCAAGATCCAGCAGCACCCAGGCAGCACCCAAGTTCACGCACGTCTTCTGCCAAGGTCCCGAGGCTCAGCTGTCTAACAGGCGTGGGGAAACTGGAAACTGCCAGGCTGACAGCACAACAGATGCACCGTGCACGACGGGCGAAAGGCCCAAGCGCCACAGAAACAATGTCCGGGACTTCGAAGCACTCAGGGCCACGCTGTCTTGAGCATGACAAGTTCAGGGAGCTGTCTCTTGACTGAAAGGGGCCTTGCAGCATAGCATTTGCTTTGTCATCTTCAATCAGCGAGAGGTCCTCCATCATGTCAGCTCAGATGTGCTGTCTGGCAGCACCTCGTGTCACTCTGGACACAAGCAAAAGAAGTTGCGAGTTAGCGCTTCCCTGCTGCTTGGTGGCAGACGGCAGGAGAGTTTATGATGCCAAGCCCGCTCTCACACAAACAGCATGTTGTGAGGACCGGTTAAGTGGTCAGAAACGGGCTGTCTAGGCTCGCGCCTGCATATCCGTCAATGCCTGAGATGCATGCTTCCTGGGCAAACGAACACGTAGCAGCCAGCCTGCGAATCGGGCTTCTGGTCTGCGGGGCTTGGGATTACTGGGCCTTTAGGTTCAAGCGACACGGAGCTAAGTCCAGGCATGGTAGCAGGACTTCTCTGTCTCCTTGTTGCGATGGGTGTCAAGGGAGGCGTGTCAAGGGAGGCGTGTCAAGGTACACATGTGAAAAGGCCTTGGCCCGCGACGTTACGAATGACTCCATGTGACAGAAGGCACAACAGTGAATGTCAAACCCCAGGAAGAAGCAGGTTCTAGGCAAACAGTGAGGGGTGTGAAGTTTTGCGCGTGCTTGTGTGTGCCTGCGGGTTCCGGCCGGGAACAAACCGAAACGGAAGTCCTAACACAAGCTCGTGGGCGCGGACAGTAGTTGGCGGCGATCAAAGCAACCGGTGATAACCCACGCCATGAGTACACATAATGATGCAGCACGGGGTCTGGGAAGGCTGCATCGGAGCCGACCACCAAACGGGTCCGTTAGAAGTGAACACATGCACCGCATGCTGTCCAGACCCCCTTTGAGCTGCGCAGCGGTGCTGCAATACGACATTGGCGAGCGCGTCAGGCGTCAAGGGCGCACTCTTTCCGCGTGCCCCTACTAGGCCATTGAAGTTGAGACTCGTACAGCACGGGTTTGCCCGCAATGGCACGCGTACAGAATCTTTAGGCTCAAGAACCATCGGTGCCAAACCGGGCGCTTGGGTTGCGGCCGTTTACAAGGACGTATGGTTTCAGCGCGCCAGCCTTCGCAAGCAAAGGCCGTTTTACAGGGAGCCCCAAACCCCTGTCCGTGATGCCCGCCCCAGGGCGCGACCCCTTAAATAGACTTTTGCAACTGACGGGAACTGTGAGCGATCAACTGTTCAGGCTCAAGCCTGGCCTACACACATCTCACATGCTGCAATTTTATGGAGGGGAGAAGGAAGGCAGCATGTACACAGCGCTTGTCCGCCATCCTTCCCGGTTCACAGTCAAGAATTCATTTAATGAGGGTTTTAGGATCTCGGGTCTGCATCTTCTGAAGAATAAGGTGTTTGGTGCCTCAACTTCACGAGATTCTCAAGCAAGGCGACGTCAAGGAGTCAACGATCGAGGTAGTTCTCACAGAACTAGCACCGCAGCGAGATGGCTTCGTGAAGAAGCCTTCAGGTTAGACAGCGTCTAGATCCGATTGCAGTTAGAGTGTTTGCGTGCACGGTACTTTCAAGATGCCCTTTGACGTGGCAAGCGGGGATGTGGAACGTTCCAGAAAACTGCAAACCTGCGTTGGGCTGGCTCCACATCCTTGAACAGTGCACTGGGAGGACAAAACAAATCGACAGACATTGCTGAATGGACGCTTGCCGAACTACTGGTGACCTGGAGGGCTGACTGTCTGGGAATTCCTCTCTCGGGAGTCCGGCTACGTCTGTCATTGCCACAAGAGCAGCTGTAGCAGCCTGTCCTTGCTACCAAAGCAGCTGTGTACGCCATGCGGATAGTTCGTGAAGAGTTTTTGACGGGACGCAGTTGTGTGCTGCAAACCCTGAGAGAAGCTGAGGTTTAGGCGTCGGGGAAGCTTGGGGGCATTAGACATAAGATTGAGGTTGCGCGGTGCTTCTTGAGGAAAGCGTTTGCCGCTTGCATGCTGAACACATGTAGCACCCAATTGCCAACATGGATGGCTTTTCGGCTTGGTCTGGGCTTGGCTCGCTGTCCGACTTCGCGACTAGACGCACAGAATCGCAAAGGTGAGATGCCGCAACGAAGCAGCCCACAGCGTTGCTGCAAACAAGCACACATGCAGCTTCTCTCTATAGTCTTGCCATGGCTTCAGCCCCGGACCGTTCGTGCTAACGCTGCCTGTCTGAACGTGGGGCATGCAGGTCACGCGGGCTCCTCCTCTCGCAGCAGAAGCAAGCCTCATATTTCAGGTTCCAAGGTTTCGGGGAGCCGGTAAGGGCATCCTGCTTCAAGCTGCTTCAAGCAAGATGGGCACTTAGAGGGCGGGGCGCACACCTAGCATCCTGAACTCTGGGCTTCCAGGGCAAGGCAAAGTCTTGGAAACCTGAACTCCAGTTTTTTTTCAGTGGCACAAGTTGTGAACTCCCAGGCACGCTTGCTCAGGGAGTTCCTTGCCGTCAGCACCATCCACGCACTCTTCTGACGGAGGCGCTGCCCATGTCGCCATACGTTGACACAGCAGATGTCAGATCAATTCCAGTGGGAGGCTGCTGAGAAAGTATGGCTGCACGACTCCAGCCCTATATCGACCATACCAGAGAGAGCGTTTGTCACCCCACAAGTCAGACCCGCATCTGCAGAAGTCGACCCAAAGGCCGTTCTCCGAAGTCACGGCACCATTCAAGAGCCACGCCTCCAAAACGAGTTTGGACTGCACACCACCGTGCCTGCCCGATTCTTGCTTACAAGGACCTGTAACACGCACGAAAATTATCTTCAACCAACGGCTCTCTCGCAGGGCACAAGCTCCTTTTGAATAGCCATGTTGGCCGAAGTGCTGAGGGCTTCTGCGGCCGGGGTTGAGGGTTGACGGGGTTTAGTTTAGGGCTTAATCGGTTTAAGATGGCCGCGTTCAACTCTGTCAGCGTCCGCTTGGTTAGGGCTGTGAATGGAACTTAAAGCACTGCGCTCGATTTCACGGCTTCTGGTCTTTCCGCAAAGGCACGGCCTCAACAGAGTCCCCCATGACATCGTATCAAGGCTTTGGGGCGTTGCGGCATGGCAAAGCGTGATTGGGACGACTTCCACCTGGTGGCACGACTTCAACATCCACCCAGTAGACCTTGTTGGTTTCTTCTGTTAGGGTTGTATATGTCGGCAAGCACAGGTGTGGGCAAAGGTCGCCCCGATCCTTGCCAAGGAACAATGAGGATCGTGTGACGTGACTGACGACATTGGCACAGTGCTCTTTGAGGTGCTGCATCGTCCGAGCGTAACCATCACTTCGGATATCTGCAAAAAGCTTTGTGCCACGGGGGCTAAGCTCTGCTAGGCTCCTGTGGCACAGCATAGGATAATCTTGTCCCTGGAAGGCCTTCAGACCTGAATTTCCCTGTACGACAGGACTGTGCAAAGCCGTGCATCACGTCTCACATAGTCAAGTGGCACCACTCACCACACGCCTGGTCCTTGACCCTTTCCATTGAAAGCTTCATGCTGAATGTGGTGGAGAATGGACAGTGCCACCACCTAAGCCCGAAGCAACACCGGCGACGACACTTCACAACATCTGCATCACTAAAGCATGTGCTCCGAAGCGGATCACCAGCTGACCAACATCTGCGGTCCAACACGTGCAAGCATGTGATCCAAGCCTGACAACGGGCGGGTTAAGAACATTGCGGGCTTCGTTGAGAAGGCTGGAAGATCTCGGCTGACAGTTTAGCCAGGGTCTTGGGGACCGCGCCCTAGGGTGTTGCCGCTCCGGACCATGTGCCAAGGTGCAGCGCACATGTCAGGTTCTCGGCTCAGGCCTACGCCCTAAGCCTCGAAGCCTCAGCCGCCGATCTCTCCTTGCAGACCTTCCACGGAACCGGCGGCGTTTCTGGGCTACCATGAGTCCGGGCTCGTATGAGTCCCGGCACATGGAGCTTTTGGTGGCTCCACCTGTATGCTTTTGAATGGTACTTCTTTGCCGCAGAGAAGACCTTTGCTGCCCTGCCTTTGGCGAAGTGCCCTCTCCATCTCTCCATCGGAGTTGGCACAACTTCTCGGCAGAATGGACTACCAGTCTTTCCAAAAAGTCACTGCAGAACATGCATTCCTTTTGTGCGGAGCAAGGGAAGGTTGCAGAAAGAAAACATTGAAGTAACGCTCCCAATGCGAGGACAAAGCCGAACGACGTCAGGTCTCCTATCGACCCGTGTTTTGCCTCTGGCGCGACGGGGCTTGAGCAACGGTGTCTGAAGGACAACAGGAAAGACAACGGCGCTTCTTCAAGAGCACTGTCTCTAGCAGCCCTGGTGCGAACATACATGCAAATGCAGGTGCGCTGTTTCACTTGCTCACTTGCAGAGTGCGCCGCTCCGGCACACGGGGTGGCAACTGTAAATGGCGCAGTTGGCAGTGGCAAGCGTGTCGTCATTCGTCATCCGATAGCTGCTACTTAAAATTGCGGCGATATTTGTGGGGTCAATTAAGTCTACGACTCTTCCTGCAGATAGAACGAGGTACAACCTACTTGCCATGTTCACGAGCAGTATCGAAAAGTGAGGCGTGAAGCGTCCGCGGGGCGCTGCCCGCTGTGCCAGCTGCCGGGCATGTGAGGGGCACCTCGCAAGCCACGGACATCAGCCTCCAGAACACTT